AAAACAGCAAAATTGGAAACATGACTATCTAGACCAATTGAAATTTTATTTAACATTTTATTTTTTTATTAAAATAAAAAAATAAAAAAGTTAAAAAGCATGCCAAAAAATTAAAAATCTGAAAATTTATATAAATATAGATAATTTCCATAATACATCTAAATCGAGAAAAAATTATTATGAAAAATCCTAAAAATTTCACTATGAACATATATCATTTTCATCACATATTTTAAAATAAAATGAGCAACAAATAAATATTATGAATTTTGTGAAGTTGTAGGCTCGAGGGAACTTCAGAAAAATTCTTTTAAATGAACCTTCAAAACTAATGAACAAGAAAATTTAGGTAAAACAAAGCACATGCAAATCACGTTCCAAAATCTCATGGCGGAACATATAAAACTTGAGCAAATGCAATTCTTCAATAATGACAACTTATGAGAGAGTTTAAAAAAAAAAAAAAGTTGTTAGTAATATATGGCAGTTTCTCTCCTTATATTGTGAATGAATCAAAAATGAATTATAGGGTTTTCAATTGGGAACCAAAAATTTATTGGGAAAAATATCAATCAAGAAAAATCATAAAGTAATGGGCTAGGAAAGAAAAAAATTCAAACATTAAGGGCAAAAAGGTCAATACAAACTTTCCAATGTTACATGTAAAACATAGAAGCAATGTGTGAAGAATAAAAAATTTATATTTTGTTTCAAACTCATTTTTATTAAATATAGAACATAGGTATGTTAATAAATATATTTCATACCAACCTTCAACTTGTCATCCCCGCGTACGAATGGATATGTATTGTCATCGCTTAAAGTATTGACACATAAAATAGTCACATATAGCATGATTGAAAATCATTTTTCTTCAGTAATTGGGTAACATGTATATAAGAAAGACGGTACATAAAATTGTTACATATAGCGCATCATGATTGAAAATCATTTTTCTTTAGTAATTGGGATACTACATTGAATTTTGAAAGGTCTCGTAACATGTATATAAAAAAGAAGGTTATTAGATTTATATAATCGAGGAAGAGGGTGCGGTCCCACCAGATGAAGCGCACTATAAAAGAGTGAGTCTAGGTGCACCATAGTGAGGTTCCATCTCAAAACCAATTGGTGATGGGAGGAGTACCCCACTAGGCTTATAAACTAGACTGATTTACCCTA